TGGCTGAGGACCCGAGTCGTTCTCCTGTCAGGTGTGGGCGCCCTGGCAGTATCCTAGTCCATCCACTTCGGAGGTTAGGAAGTGGTCGATGTCCCTCTTCCCGTAAAACCTAGCCATGGGAGACAACAGGTCTACGGGTTATAAGCTCACAGCTCGATAGGCGTATAGCACGAGCGCCACGCATTGTCTCTGACGGTGGGATGGCACCTCCAGGTGTTCAATGATTTGCTACTGCCCGCCTCAAACCAGACAGCCCCTGGTCGAATTGGTGCAAACCCGCCAAAGCCCAACTGCATCTGGCCGTGGTCGCAGGTGCGTATCCTACCACGGTCGCAAAACATATATAAATCGTTCCAGTACCTCCAAGGCTGCGTGTGACGGCCATCAAGCACATCCCTATCTGTCTCTGCAATCACATTCCCTGCTGGATCTGCTCCCCACTGTCTTGCGGATCAGGCTATTGAGCCAAAGGCTCCGGGCGGAGTCCCTCAAGCAAACCTCCAAACCACCCACTGCCTTGTGGGTCAGGCTATTGAGCCAAATGCTCCGGGTGGAGTCCCTCAAGCAAACCTCCGAAGCACAACGACCATCTCGCGTGCGATTGCCCACCAATGCAATCGTAAGCCTGCGCACAAAACACTCAGCATCGGGTGCTGGAACGTGCGCACACTACTGGTCCGGAACTCCAGTGAGCGCCCGGAGCGACGCACTGCACTGGTCGCGATGGAGTTGGCGCATTACCACATCGATATTGCGGCGCTCAGTGAAACCCGGCTCGCTGAGCAAGGTAACTTGCATGAAGCAGGTGCTGGCTACACATTCTACTGGGTGGGCAACGCCGCCTCAGCACCACCTGATAATGGGTTCGGATTTGCCATATCCAATTGCCTCCATGGCCAGCTGGTGGGTGAACCAACAGGCATCAGCGCGCGACGGATGACTGTTCGCCTACGACTCGGAGGAGATAAGTTTGCTACTTTTATTAGCACATACGGTCCGACCATGTGTTATCTTGATGACACACGTGATCAATTCTACATTGAGCTATCCTCCGTGATACGGTCTGTGCCGAGGAGCGACCGACTATTTATGCTGGGTGATTTCAACGCGCGTTGGGCTTGATGCATCAGGGTGGACAGATGTTATCGGTGCGCATGGCATTGGTTCAGCGAATGCGAACGGTGACAGGCTGCTCTCACTGTGTGCCACTCACGGCCTGACGATCACGAACACTCGGTTTGCACTGAGTGCGAATGATATAGCAACCTGGACACACCCACGGAGTGGTCATGCTCACCTGCTCGACTATGTCATCGTACGTCAGCGTGATATGCGTGAAGTGCGCATGACACGTGTACTGCGTGGAGCTGAGTGTGGCACTGATCACAGATTGGTTCGGACCAAACTGTACATATATTTTCGTAAATCGATGTATTGCACTCCCGCCGTGAATCGGCGTAAATTTAACATTCTCTCCCTCGGTACTGTGGCGAAACTTACTGAACTGGAGAAGGCGATGGCTGCACGCCTGTGTGATGTTGACTGCCTAGCCACAGTGGACGACCTGTGGCACCACATTCGCGACCAGGTGACAGCTGCTGCCGAGGAGACCATCGGGCGCGAAAACTGTAAACGGCCTGATTGGTTTGATGATAACAATGCGACGATTGGCGCATTGGTGTCAGAGAAGAACGCAGCATTTGCTGCATATATTGCAGGCCCCAGTGACTTGAGGAAGAGTAGTCAGTTTCGCAAACTTCGACGGCGACTGACCCGAGAGCTCCGTCATATTAAAAATGCATGGTGGACGGAGAAGGCGAAGCAGATGGAATGCCACGCCGAACGCCGTCAACACAAGGAATTCTCCGACTCATTGAAGGCGGTGTATGAACCGAGGTTGGAGCCGCTGAGGAAGCTGATCGATGGTAGTTCAGGCGCTGCCTGCACACAGACTGCAGCCATAATGCAGATCTGGTGAAATCACTTTGACTGTCTCTTGAACAACCGTTCAGAGATCGACTGGCCTACACTGATCGGCCTCAAGCAGCATGATGTGAAGACGAGCTAGCGGACACGCCGACACTGGATGAGACGCAGCGAGCATTTGCTCAGCTGCGAAACGGCAAGTGTGCTGGGGCCGACGGGATCCCACCTGAAGTATTGAAACACGGCGGACCCGCGTTGTTGACTGCGCTGCACCACTTGGTGCAACGTGTATGGATGGATTGAGGAGGAAGTGGCTTCTGAGCTGGAGGATACCCTTGTGCTACCACTTTACAAGGGCAAAAGGAGCAAGCAATGTTGCACGAACTATCGTGGCATCAACTTGCTGAGTTGTGTGGGCAAGGTGATTGCCCGAATCCTGCTCAACCGCCCCGTCAGTCATGTTGTGGAACCTAATGTGGCGGAGGAACAATGTGGATTCCGTTGGGGTTGCAGCACTACAGATATGGTGTTTGCGGCTCGTCGGTTGCAGAGAACGACACCAGCCGTTGTACTCGCTTTTTGTTGATTTCACCAAGGCTTTTGATCCGGTGAACCGCGAGGCATTGTGGTTGGTGTTGGGTAACTTTGGTTGCCCGCGTAAGTTTGTAAGTTTAATTGAATGTCTGCACAGTGGTATGCGAGCGAAGGTGCAGCTGAGTGGAGAGACCTCGGATGACTTTGCAGTTGTCTTTGGTGTGAAGCAAGGCTGTGTCTTAGCTCCTGCCCTGTTTAATATATATCTTCATGCCATGATGTCTTGTGCTTTTGATGCCGCTTGTGCTTACGCTGTTCGTGTGGAGCACCCTACAGATGGTGGGTTGATGAACATTCGTCGTTTCGGTGCGAGGATCTTAGTCTGTGACACAACTATCCGTATGTTGCTGTCCAATGACGACTGTGCGTTGTTTGCACACAGCGCGGATGAGTTACAGCACATGACTAGTGCTCTGGCTTCGACAGCGGCCAAATTCGGGCTCACCATCAACACAAGCAAAACTGTCTGTCTCTTTCAGTCTTCACCGGAGGTGCAATCTACAATATTGCCGCGGATCAGCATTGGTGCTGAAGTATTGGAAACCATCTCCCACTTCTGCTACCTTGGGAGTGTAATGTCGGCTGATCAGCAGCTACACAGTGAGCTGGGTATTCGCGAGTCGAAGGCAGCGGCGGCATTCGGGAAGCTTGAGCACCGAGTATGAAACAACCATCAGCTTACCATTGGGACGAAGCTGATGGTGTGCAAATCTATGGTGCTGTCTGTTCTTCTATACGGCAGCGAAACGTGGACGATGTACCGTCGGGATGTGCGATATCTCGAGCGGTTCCATCAGCAGTGTTTGCGACGAATTTTGTGCACCAGTTGGGGCGACAGAGTTGCAGACACGCAGATGTTGAGCCGAAGTGGAATGTGTGCGGTAGGCTGTATAATTTTCCTGAGACACTTGAAGTGGCTGGGTCATGTGTGCCATTTGGATTAGATGCGGAAACCGAAGCAGCCGTTAGATGGTCAGCTGAATATATTGGGAAACAGCATGTGGGGAAACCGAAGCTTCGTTACCAGGACATGATCAAAGTGAGCCTCTCACGTTCTAAGCTTGCTTGCAGGTCTTGGGAATAGAAAACAGTTGATCGGCGTGCATGGCGCGATCTGATCACGAGGGCAGTTGCTGAAGTGCGAGAGAAAGACCTCATGTATGCCGAAAAGAAGGAGCAAGCACCGATGGGTTGTACTCTATCGACATCGAGAGCATGGTGCTTTAGCACATGCGGTCGCGAATGCCTGAGTCAGGCAGGCTTAGTGAGCCATGACCGGGGCCACTGGGGGGCCAACACCGAAACGACGACGGGTCTGCTGAGAACGCAGGCAGAATCGGCACAGCGTTTGTAGGTACGCTGTATTGGATTTAGTAACCGCGTGCTTGCGTGCTGAATTTCTATATTTCAGGTGATCGCTTGTTATATTTGGTTAATACTTGCTTTGTTACCTCATTTTAACGTCTACTTTAATGATAATCTATTTACTGACACACTTCTCCTAAAGGAAAGATGGTTATTTTCTTTAATTTTATCCACCTTTGTTGCGTACGTTTTCGTTCGCCTTTTCTGCCATCTTGAACTTATCGCGGATATATCGATAACACATTTATTTTACATGTGAATTCGGTGAAGAGTTAAGTCGGCATATCTGTATGCTTCATCTGATTCACTTTATTTGATATCGTCATTTCAAATGGCTGCCTGTTGTTTGACATCCCCGATGTGGCTGCGCTGGTATGCATGTTGACAAGGTGCCTAAATGTCTATTAGCCACTACCTCATCTATACTGACTGCAGGAGACAGCTGAATGTTGCTGGAGGGGGCGGAGTGCACGGTCCTCGTGACCGTGTTAAGCTCAAAGAATGGTTCCATGCACATGGTTTGTGTGTGGAGCGGGCTACGTCCTAAGCACTGCCTTGTGTATGCGCTTGATTCCCAAATACAGCGTGCTTATGTTTACCTTTGAAGGAGCGTGGGCTGGCTCCGTTGATGAAACGGGGCTCCTATCCACATGACTTCCGGCCTTATTCCTTCGGGTTTACACTGGATATGGGGTGTGTGGTTGGAGCTGTGGGTGGCGAATGGATTCTGACTAGGTCAGAAAACCGATGTGCTTTGAAACACCATTTTTGTGCGACATTTTTGAATGGAACTACAGCTGGCAATCGACACAGGGAGTAGGGATTGTCGACAGACGGTTTTGGAACCACAAAACAGGTTTCACAGGCAACGCCTATCACAAAGAGTAGCAATTCAGTGTCCAGATACTCCTGTCTGATGAATCCACTCAGGAATAAAGCAGACCATTGAGTCCAGCGATAGGTGATTGCAGTGCACACTATTTATAGACTACGGATGCAGTCCAAGGGATTGAAGGAGGTTCGATCCGAGATTGCGAATCACACAATCCTAACACAATGAGGCACTACAAAGTTTCCGTGATACGCGTCGGAAAAAATAACAGTTCACTACTCACCGACATCACGAATCAGACTCCCCAAGTACAAGGCAGACAATGGTGTTTGTTCAGCAGGTTTCAGCACTAGTGTGCAGCCAGCAGCCAACACAGGAGCCATTTTCAAAGTACATAGAAAGAATGGGTAATTCCATGGAATGATTCCAGCAACCACTCCAGCAGGTTCGTGTCTCGTGAAAGTTACCGTGTTGCCATCGACAGGGATGACTTTGCCATGAATTTTGTCCGCATAGCCAGCATAGTAGCGAATAACCCCAACTGAGAGCTGGATGTCGCCGAGAGCAGAGGAAAAAACTTTGCCATTATCGATTGCGTCCAAGGCCTATGGAGGAAGGGATCCGAAAATGGAGGATGATGAGGCGCAAGAACATGCTAAACGTCCATATTATGAAGATAACTGGGTCCACACTGGGAATCATTTGAGCGAACGTCGATGCGCCGAGGTAGGGATCAAAGACAGGTGAGGACGTAAAAGTAACCGGTGCTTACAATGGAAACATAATGTAAAAGCTGAGGGGCGAAGTGGCAAAACTAGTGTGACATATGTGAGTCATTCAAGTCCAGCCGGAAGATTTCACACGTCCCTAACCCAATCCCAAGGTAGAAGTAATGGAGGCAGTAGGAATTGGCAAGTGTCCCGCTAGTGCTAGGAGTCATTACTATCGTGCAACAATCAAGGAAAAGTCATTCAATTAAGATGGCAGATAACAAGGTGACTGCACACGTGACAGCGCGTCAAAAGAAAATTTCAAACGAAGGAGAGCATAAAGCCAACTGCAATTTCAGAAGACTTTGATTGCAGTATAATTATGATAGAATAGTAATCCCCAGTAGAACATATAAATGATGCGACTGATTTAAAGATTATTGTAAGTTACTCTTGGGAAGCCTCGGTCCGTTGGATAGCTTAGTATTGACTGTAACTGTGTAACTTGGGAAAGTGCAAACACGTTTAATCTTTCGCCGAGAATACTAAACGCAATAACACAAAACCATTTGCTGTCCTGAAAAGTAAGCGTTACATGGGAGTTGAAAGAGCTTTCCGATTAGGATGGGTATATACGAGTTGAAATCTACACTGTTTTAAAGGATCGTTATAACATAGAAGGCAGCCTATGGGGTGTGTAAATCAATACTTCATAACCCGTATAAAGTCATCGCGCATTGGTCGCGGATCGTATCGTCATGCACTCCTTACAGTCATGAGTAGAGCGAAGTGATCTAAATCTATTTGGACTCGCCAAAAAGTCATCGGAAGTTAACGTTTCCACACGGATGATGGGATGGAGCAGGATGTCTTGAGTCAGAGGCACCGATAAACTTTTCTATGCTGAAGCCTGCCAAGTAGTAGTTAAACGCACGCATAAGTGACTAATCATAGCAGGATAATATATCGAGAAATTAATGCAGTTGCCACTTTCTCAAATGTGCGAATTACACACCAGTCCGGGGACTTTAAGAAATAGTTCCCCGACTGGCCTGAAAGCCTCGAATATGATACGTTTGTGAACGTAGGTAATCATTCACAGAACAGACACAGAGGCACCAAAATCACGGAAATTAAACTAACGTGTTATCTACAGTTTTCATGAAAAGAAATCGTGTTGTTTAGCTGTCACTTCATACATCCACTTCAGTCCTTCTTCGTTACTTTCAAGAGCAGAAGCAGTAAAGACTCGAATGTAAACATGTAAACATGCACACTAATCTTCCAGTGACTTCGGTTACGCAAGGCACCAAGCGTTTCTAGTCATCAGCAGTGTCTTCAACCTTGAATCTCCAAACAGGCATGCACATGGACTTAACGGAGGCCAGACGCGAAATGTCATGCGCTGTCGACAAGTGTGGTTTCCCTCAGATCAATCCTACACGAGCAAATAAGACGCGCGGTGCGATAAACGCTTTGGTGACATGTGGAGAAAAAAACCGAAACAGCGCAATAGGCGCGGTAAAACAAGGTAGATGAAGGGAAGTTACATATTACCCAAGATACGATATCGATGTGGACTCGGCGTCACTCTACCACACACGAGCGATTCCCCACAACCATTATCGAAGACCGAAAAGTCGGAGCATGTCATCTAGGTGAATTTGAAAGGACTCATTTTCATTCACGCTGCGCTTAAATAAGAGGCATGTTCCACCGACGCGACAACAGCAAACGTCGAACTTGCTATGGCAATGCGAAGAGAAACGATTTTTTCAACGATGCCACCCGCAGAAATGTAGGTTTCCAGACAGACAAATCCATTCACTCGTTCAAGCTATGTACCTTCAAAAGTGAGCGCAGGAACAAGTGTGCGCCAATTATGGAGCAGCAGATAACACTTCGAGAGCGCGAAGCACATGCCGTGCCTAGAAGTTGCAATCACTGAACGGTTCAGAATGGTTTGCACACTCTGCGGGTCGCGCCGACCTTGCACACTGGCCTAGAAAAAGCTCAGGCCGAAAAATTGGAAACTTTCTATGACTCACCAGATGACAACACCAGACACAAAAATGGAAAGGAAAGGCAACCTGAGACACCGTTGTCGTACACTTCCACTCCGTCATACATGGGTGTACAGTGAGCAAAGTAAACTTTTCCTTGATTCCGTTCTTGTTAAAGAAACCAAGCAAAAGAGCCTATGATGGATCGTCGCCATTTGGCCCTACATAGCAGCGCTACATAGAATCATCAGTTAAATTCAACTCAAGAAGTGAACCCGGTTGGGATCTCATTGATTTGTATCAATTAGCATATCCTAGATTGTTGATTTGCTCCAATGTGTTTAGTAGCTTCGCTTCGCCCTTATTTGTACTACAGTATTCCGCATGCATACGATTCTGTTCTTATTCAGCGCGTATTCGCGTTCCCATCTGCGGTCGTGGGATTTGAGCAGTGACTCCGCGGCGACACATATTTTAGCGATGGAGTTTACCATTGACAAGGGCAATTGCTGCTGAAGATCTGAACACGGTTTTAGTACAGTAGCAAAAATAATTCGAGGCATCTCAGCTGCCATTGATCGAGACTCTCACTCGACAACTGACTGTCCAATCACGCTCAACCCAAAGCACACACAGAACTTCCGTTGATGCAGTACTCATCAGTGTCACAGAGTTTATTTTCAATCCCGAATAAGACGCCTTCTGCATAAACGTTTATTGTTGCTCGATGTTGGATAGCAAGTGATAGTGCAGATTGACATTTTATCGTAAACGAGAAATCAGCAATCTGCTCGTATTAATATTACGGTGCTTCGTCTTCGAGACCTCCCAAACCATATAAAGAAGTTGGGCACAGATCAGCGCGTGAGCTGAGTCAAGAAGGGTGGATCAGAAGGACCTGTTATTACGTATACGACCTCACTTTCTGAAACTGATTGTAATATGATCAATTTGAGACCACAATACTGTTGACTAGAAAGAATTAATTGGTAAGACATTTCCATGTGTGCCTGAACCTGGTGCTCGAGAAAAGTAGACTACCATCTCCGCACATTGTGAGAGCTCTGCTTTGGTAGATGGAAAGTAATATGATTGTATGCGAGAAATAGAAAAAACGCCATGGAGTTTTTCTGGGTTCCAACAGGTTCACAGACCTCTAAGATATCCAGTGACCGATGCTGTGACGATTGATAATGCCGCAAGCAGAGGCTCCCGCACCGTGCATGGCGGTCGAGATCCTATTCAACTGAAGCTCAGTGTCATTAAGACGAAAGAAAGTTTGGTATGCAGGGCATCCTAGTAGGGTAGTTTGATCGAGGAATGCGACAACTCCTCAGTTGTCAATCGGAGAGGATGCTTGGTGCGCCTCCCGGTAAAGTTCATGGGAAAATGACAGTACCAAAACATGGTCAGAGTCGACGCAGGTATTGCAGAACAAGCGACAGTCCACCATGGCACCACGCAATCAGTCACTCATGGCAATGCAATAAAGTTGGGTGTATGGTTGGCTAGTCATAGGTGAACGCCAAGTGGCACTTCGGTGTCCACTGTGTTTAAAAGCGATGCCACTGAGAAACAGCTGATGCGCCGTACATAGCTGTAACAGACGCTCATCGTTGTCCACCCGGTTGTAGTCAAGTCCATATTTAGCACCTAGCTGAGGTTCTGAAGAACCTAGATGACTTATTTGGGCATTTATATCCTCCACAAGTACTATTATATCTGAACTGGTAGTACTGCATAGTTGCGTACTCAGTTTGTTGTAGAAAGCGTCCTTAGCAGCATTCAGAACTGCCGTCGGTCGGGGCATAAGTGGAAAGTAAAACAAAGAGCGTCTAGTACTGCTACGTGAATCAACTGTACTTGGTGTCATTAAATGGCCGTTCACGGGAATCCAATCAATGAGGACCCAGCCTTGGAGCTGAGAATTGTGTCCAATCCAGCTTGACCAGTAGTTGCCGCATCCACGTTTCCGGATGCGTACAACCAGTAACAATAGGACAAGTCATGAGCAGTTAATTCAACAATCCCGTGAAGGCGATTGATCGGAGTTTCGGACACACAACAAACATCAATACCCAGCGTGTCCAACGTGCGTGCCAGTGCAGCCTGTTGACTTGCTTGTCTTAGTGTGAAAGTGTTACGTCACCAGCAAACGAGACAGCGTGGCCTCATAAAAGGCTGTTGCCGATAAGTGTCCAGTGTGGTGCGGGGAGGTAGATGCAGAGAGTATGACTCCAGTGGCATTATAGCTGTTGTCAATTAAATTGGGAACTACGAAAGGAGAGTGAATAATGGGGTTTGGGAGAGAAGAGAGGCAGGTGGAAAAGAAAGGAGGCGCCTGGAGTAGCATGTTTCCACTTATCCTCTCTGCTGTATGCGGCGACCTTTGATAAGCTACGCGACCACCGATGCAAAATGTGGTTGGAATTTGAGGAAATAATCATGGTTGTACGTATGCTGATGTATTTCCAGGGCGCCCAGACCTAGACAGGAGAACGATTAGGGTACTCAACCCAAGTCTTTGGCTCAAAAGCCTGTCCGCAAGGCAGCGCGGAGGTGGCAATGATTTGGTTTTACAGAAATGGACGCTATCCCATTTCAAACCCCCAACCTGCAGGACCAGGAGACAGTTTGTCTGACTTCTCACCATTATTGATCAACTTGGTAGGAGTAGCTCTCAAAGGACTCGGTGCCCACCCAGTATGGCTCAATGCGCTAGGGAGGCACGCCAACCGTCGCATCAGGTTGAGGTCCAGTCTCGCTGCGATGGATTTTTAGATCGCAGACACGATGGTCACTTACTATTCTAGCAACGGAAACCGGGAGTGGCAAGTATTAAAAACGGAAAACGCTATACTCAGAACCGGTGTAAGAGTTTAAATAAAACAT